GCCGGCCGTTGCGGTCGAGCCTTGCCATAAGTCGCAACGCCGTTGCCCTGGTCTGCGCATAGTTGTCGGCTGGACGCTCCGCCGACTTCCAGAGCAGGCCGACTTCGTAGTGCTGTTCCTTCCGATCTCCACAGAGAACTGTTCACTCTTGTGCATGGTGTCTGCAGTGAACTGACCCTTGATGGATAGAGGTGCACCAGATGGGCCAAGGAGTTTGGTACTGGATGGTGTGAGTACAGGGCGTTGTACGAGATTCTGTTAGTGGAGTGCATGATACACGATACATCAGCACCTGTGTCGATCTTGAATATCAAATTTGTCGAGCAAACAGGCCGACTTACTGACCAGGTCAATTGACTGGGAAGGACTGGTGTTGGATGACAGCTCTACCACAACACCCATGAGTGGCGACGGGGACGCAAGGATTCATTTCCGACAGCTCTGGCACCACGCGTGGTTGCTGGAGTGGAAAGACAGACGGCGGCGAAGTGGCCCTTCTTTCCGCATGAATTACACTTGCGACCAGATGCAGGACACGCAGAACGGTTGCTCTTGTGCGAACCAGCGTGGCCACACCACGGACTTGTTGAAGATGTAGTGCCGCTCTTCCTCTGCATGGACGGCGTTAATGCAGGCTTCGATGGAATGTCACTGCGCTGGAGACGACTCCTTGCATCTTGCTGCTTTCCTCCAAAGCGGGATGCAGCATTGACTTGCGGCCTGGCGGCTTGTGCTGCAACGTCTCCGGAGATTTTCTTGGCCTGCCTGGCCCTGAGAACTGCATCCGTGAGGGTGAGTTTTGTGGGCTCAATCTGCTGCAGCTCCTTGGCGACTTGACGATCCAGAAGGTGAGCCACGAGGCGATCTCGAATTCTGTTGTCCTTCTGGTCACCGAAGTCACAGAATTTCGCTACGGCGTGAAGTTTCCGAACAAATTCTTCCACGGACTCTCCTGGAAGATAGACGCACTGTTGGAAAATGGTCCTCTGGTGAAACACGTTCAGTGCTGGCGTAAAGTAAGCGTCCAGCTTCGTCATGACCTTGTCATGCTTGTCTTCGTCTCCAAAGGCGTCAAATACCAGTTGATCGAGGACAGTTTCGGCCTCTGGGGCCAGCCAGTAGAGCAACGTAGAGATTTGTGCTTTCTCGTCTTTCGCGTTGAGCTCTGAGGCGAGGCAATATCCCACAAACCTGCGTTTCCAAGCCGGCAAGGCATCTGGAATGGAGAATCAAAGTCCGCAGGCGGCGCGAGCTTGGCCATTTCTACTCGAAGTGTAGACCTGGTTGACTAACTTTGTCATGTTGTGCCATGCACTGACATAAGGAAGTGGTTTATTTTACAGACAGATGAGTGTAGATAATTATAGTGAAGAGTCAGGGAGGCCATGCCCAGCAGAGCATGGAATCGTGCGTAGCACGGGGGTAGTGTGAGGTCACGTACCGTCTATACATGGCGACAGGCAGGGGAAGGACTATGTCGTGAATGGGTGAAAGGATAACATGATACAGGATAGGACACAAACCAAATGTACAAGCATGAGGAATAAGAAACATGCATGACGAATTTAGAAAAGGGAAATTAAAGTTGCTGATGCGATTTCATGATAAGTATTAAATTATATGCCCAAGGTCCGAGTGTAGAGTCGTACTGCCACAGTATTACCACCCAGAGAACGAGTGCGGGAACAATCAAGTGAATGATAAGAAATCAAAAAATACAGGAAAGAAGTACAGTATGAAACACTAGTAGCGGAAAGCGGATGATGCCCAGCGCAGCAAGTCAATCAAGCAAATGCGCAGGCTTAACACGATCAACAGAGACAATCTGGTCCATACCATTGATACGCTGAGTGAAGTACTTGGGAGTGCGCGGGGAAAGGACCATCATACGGCGGTTGGAGTGGTAGCCGACCTGCGTCACGGCGCAAATACACTTCAGCGGCTGTGTCCAAATCGCTGGGCAGATAGACAGGATTCATGCTAGTACGGACGGGAAGAGGACGGATCTGCCGCAGGAAGGTAGACAGATGAGATGCGTAATCACTGCGGTCGCTGGCAGGAGTCAGGGAACTAGATGGGAAGAATTCACCAGGAAGGCGCAGCGTTGTACCGTAGACCAGTTCTGATGTTGAACAGTTGCTATCAGGCTTTGTCGATGTCCGGATGCTGAGCAGAATAAGCGGTAGCGCTTCTAGCCAGTGAGTTGAGTCAGAGAGAGAGTCCGGAGTGATGACTTGACATGCCGATGGAATCGCTCAATTAAACCATTGCACTGGGGATGGTAGGCGGTATTGCGCTTACGCTGGTATCCCAGTAGCTTCATCAAACTGTTCCAGAGGGCCGACTGAAAATGAGCACCACGATCTGTGACAAGAGAACAAGGTACACCAAACCGGGCAATCCAGCCTGAAGCTAAGGCAGACGCAACAGTGGATGCAGTGGCATCGGGGATTGAAAACGCCTCAAGCCACCGGGTGAATCGATCAATGCACGTAAAGAGATAACGATTTCCGTTGCATGAAGGAAGAGGACCAACAACATCGATGTGGATGGAATCAAAACGCTGAGCCGGCACAGGAAAGCTACCAATAGCAGAGTGGGTATGACGCTGGACCTTAGTTCGCTGGCACGAGTCGCAGGCCTTGGTCCAAGTGGCAACATCCTTCTGCATAGATGGCCAAACAAAGCGAGCAAAACCGGGTAGCACGAACACCAGGATGACGGAGACTGTGGATTATTATTATTATTATTTAATATTATTTGAACCTGGTACCCTCTGTTTCTCAATCATGGTCTTAGACCATCCCACTATGCCTGCCTGCTTGGAAGCGGAAGGATTTTTTCCAGCCGTGCTGCGACCCACAGTTAATTGGGAACTCGTGGCATGGCACGAGGAAAACATGGATGCAGTGAATGGGATTTTCGGTCTTTGACCACTTGCTGGTGAGCTGATCTACTCACCTCCCACAGCTTTAGGAGCTGCATCTGCGCCTTGATCCTTGAAGGGTGGTGGCGTTCCTACGGATGCGGAAAACCCGGCTTCCACCCGAGTCTCACGCGAACCGTGATTTTTTTTTTTAAATATTATTATACGCACTATGGCCATGCAAGCGGGAATGCCTACTTCACTTGTGCCATTCAGGATGATGATAAAGAAAAAGACAAACAGAAAGCTCAGAATCTTGAGGAACAATGCTGCAGAGCAGAAAAGCTGTGATCGATAGGATGCGCTACAGAAAGGTGAAAATTATTACTTCATTGATAATAGCTGGTGAGTTGTCTCTCGAAACTGTGGATAGACACACATATATCATGGCGAAATTTATGCGGCACAAATGGGCGAGCTACACCGGTAGACACGTCACAGATAAGCAGAGAGGTACTGCCGGGCACTGGAAGACGCTGGAGCTTGAGTGGTGAGTCGGGCTTCGACATATAGGTAGCCAACTAAGCATCAGTCTCTTGGGCAGTGGCAAAAGCGGTGAAATCAACAGGGTGCGATTGGCTAACAGCATCAACGTCAGGGCGGGATAGAGCATCAGCGACAGTATTCTCCTAGCTAATCATGTAGCGAGTGTCGGTCGCAAACTCGGCAATGTACAACAGTTGACGAAACTCACGAGAACTCACGTGAATGACGTGAAGAGGACAGATTAATAGCAAATGTCAGCTGCTTGTGGTCTGTCAGGATATGGAATGAACGGCCCTCCAAGTGATGCTGAAAATGCCGGATTGCGAGGTAGATACTTGGCAGCTCACCACGTCGGCGTCACCATGGCATTTGTATGTGGCGCGCAACGTGGGCGACATGCGACATTCGTTTGACGTTGCACTCTCGACGTGCGAGAGTTTGCCTGGCTATATATTTCGATCCGTTCTGTGTTTGAATCATTCTTGTTTGCTTGTAGTGTTTTAAAACCATCCCACCTCCCTTTTCTCATCACTAATTCACTTTGATAAAGTGAATAAATGAGGTGTTGGCTACGTTCATTTCCAGCTACTCAGGGTCGTCCCTCGGACGCAGACTTTTGTAGAAACTTGGCTCCGCCAACATTCTGCTCCGGCAGTGTCTACCCGTCCGACCCTGAATCCTCTCTCGTAGAAACTTGGCTCCGCCAACATTCTGCTTCGGCCATGTCTACGCATTTCTCTCCGTAGCCTCTCACTCTGATGGCCGGTACTCCCCAGTACCGCAAATTGCTGTGTGTTGTAGTAGATGTGCGTGTGTGTGTGTGTGTGCGCGCGCAATTGGTGTTCGGCGAGCTGCCTGCCCCCCGTCCTCGTCACGGCCCGAAGAAGAGGTGGCGAGATGTGATGTCGACTGACCTTGCGGACCTCGGCATGACCACCTGGCTTGAGAGTTGCCAAGATCGTCCTGGCTGGAGACGAGTTGCGAGTAGCACTCCGCCGCCACAGCCCGCTCCTGATCCTCTTCTCTGTGTATGTGGTCGCTCGTTTCGTCGACCAGGAGACCTGAAACGACATGCCAAGTTCTGCGCTCGCGTTCTCACTTGAACTTTACGACATTCGCTAGCATTGCATACGCAATGGGCAAGATCAAGGTCAAGGTCAAGGTGTGTGTGTGTGTGTGTGTGTGTGTGTGTGTGTGTATGTGTGTGTGTGTGTGTGTGTGTGTGTGTGTGTGTTTGTGTGTGTGTGTGTGTGTGTATGTGTGTGTGTTTGTTTGTGTGCAGTCCCAGCACTACTTGCTGTGTCTAACGTCGCTGTTCGCTATCATTGCTTCTGTGTTGGGCAGGTCTGAGGTCTGGGGTCTGAGGTGTGTGTATATGTTTATGCGTGTGTTTTTGGATGTGTGTGTTTGTGTGTGTGTGTGTGTGTGTGTGTGTGTGTGTGTGTGTGTGTGTGTGTGTGTGTGTGTGTGTGCGTGAGCGTTCATGCATGAGTATGTGTGTGCGTTCATGTGTGCGTGTGCATCAACATGTATATGCTCGTGGGTATATGTGGACATGGTTTTTCTTTGTTGTTGCTGCTACTTCCAGGATGGTAAGACACCATTACATATTGCAGCACGGGAAGGTCATGTTTCCGTAGCAGATTGTCTACTTAAATCTGGACATTCGTTGGAACCAAAGGATGATGTAAGTCAGATTATCCTTGATGCTTTCTCGTTTTTGTATGAGCAGAAAGAAGAATTAAGCAGTTAAATATTTTTTGGGAGTATACTTCTGTGCCTTCTCTTCATATCGTGACGTACCTTCTCCCGTACGTTGTCTCCTTCCGCATCACCAAGGTGATATAGCGGCACGAACAAATGAGAGCAAGAACAATGAATTATAATGTATTATTGTGAAAAGAAGAAGGACAAAATGTTACGAGTTCTGACAAACTGTCCACTAACGTAACCAGATCTTATACAGTCAGTGAGCGCGACAAAATGGCACAAAACTGACAAGGTTTACTGAGACATTCGGCGACCTGACTCCTAGCTCCAACAATTCTCCAAAGGGCAAAGGAAAGCACAACGAAGAAGAGCACGAGCTACGCGCCACGGCAACAAAAATGCCTAAAGTTACTGGATGATGGCGAAAATAGTAAGACTCTTGGACATACCGGCCTTACTACAACTCGACGACGCAAAACAACTGACCACCCAACTTGGGAGTCTCAAGTTTATGTAATAAACATAGAAAGGGGAAGCTAACCAAAGACAAATTGTCTCAAACCGAAACGTCAATATCCTACTGAACTCCACTATCATGTAAATGTGATGGACTAGTTATGTACAACAACAATGCTCTCATGCGCGCACACACGTGTGTACGCCTGCGTGTGTGGGCTCAACATTCCTGGACATGCACGAGCACACACACTTACACACAACATGCGCCATGCCATGTTCGTTGTATTTTGCCTGTATTTCACCTGATGATCAGGCATGAAAGTATACTAGTGAAATGTGCATTCTTGTCTCCAAAGAAATTGTTCATTAATTCCCAAAGAAATCTTCATTGATAATGATCCAGAACTCCCTATGCCATTGCCGGTGTTACCTTTACTCATTAGCTGTGTTTGTTTGTTCCTGTGTGTGTGTTTTTGCGCATGCATGGTTGTGTGCATGGTTGTGTATTTGTGTGTGTGTGTGTCTATGTGTGCATGCGTATGTGTGTGTGTGTGTGTGTGTGTGTGCGTTCATGCATATGCGTATTTTTATGTGTTTGTGAATCGTCATGTGTATGTGTGTATTTGTGTATGTTTATGTGTGTTTGTGTGTACTTGGTTTGTATTCATTAACAATGCTACTTCCAGAGTGGTCGGACCCCATTACACACTGCAGCATGGAATGGTCATGTTTCCGTAGTAGAACATCTACTTAATTCTGGACATTCGTTGGACTCAAAGGATAATGTAAGTCAGGATATCCCTGGTGCATCCTTGCTAGTGTATGAACAGAAAAGTCAGATTATATGGGTGTACATAGTGAGGTCCAGTGCATGTGTATCAGGTCTCATGTTCATCTGTTGTACGCACAATAATACATGCACAATTGGAAAACATTTTCCAAGGAGAACAACAGTTTTCACTATCTTCAACAGCCTAGACAACACTATTGAGTACCTTGGGTCACCTCAAAAATACTTATAAGTACAGTGTCTTGACGAGATTTGGTGTATGTTTTCATGTGAAATCGCACCGAACACAATTATGGTTCTGTAAAGCAACCGGCTGCTAGATTGGAATTCTTTGGTATTTTGTACACCTGCATAATGTTACACTTCCAGTGGCAGGTAAGATAGTTGAACAGCACAATCAGTCATGTCTTTGTGCGTAACCCGTACAATACTGGTGGTTTGTGTAAATCATCCAAACTTGGTTGGTTGAATTTCCAGTGGCGTATATCTTGTCCTGAACAAAACCAATCTACCAAGCCACATGGGGAGAACACTCGGGTATGCCAATGTTGCACCAGTTTTTTGTTCATTGCAGGCATCCTCGCTGTGCTTTTGAATTGCCTGTCGTTGGCAGAAGAGGATTGGGCGTATTTGGAGGCTTCTTTTATATTACTTCCTCCGTTAAGCAAAACTTCGTTGCGTTTTTACAGTTCAGTCCAAATCATTCTATGGCTACGAACACGCTTTGCAAAGTGGAAAAAAGCAGCATATGAAAGATATATAATGACAGATGAAACACAGCTCGTTTCAAAGCCGTCCAGTTTCACTCTTCGATGACGACTTACACTCACTGATGACATCGAGTCTGGAGCCTCACTGACTTTCACCTCCAGCGCTGCCAGCTTTTGTACCGCAGCATTTACAAATTGCCAAGACACGATTTGATCGTGGAGATCGCCAAGTTCTTCGCTCGAACTGTGAGCTTGATGACCTCCACGGTGGCGCTGGTAGTTGTGGCCACTCTCCGGAACGCCATGGAAGGAGCCACACAGACGCAAACAAACGCTCCCCATCTTCGCAGGGGTGTATCCGTGCCAGAACGTTTCCACACCCTGCAGAAGCTCCTTTTAGGTTTCCTTAGCCACGAGTGACACGGCTGTTTACAGGCTGTGGAAGAACGCCAAGTCGTCGAGGTTGAGATCAGGATTTTGCGCCGACTGCATGACAACATGAATGTCGAACATTTTTGATTTCCCCTGCGCTGCAAACAAAAGTGCATTGATTATGGTTGTGTGTGGATGCGCACCATCGACTCGTGCTAGTACAGCAGCGCCTGAGCGCTGGCCGGCTCCTGGATACTTCTTCGAGCCAGCGGTATTTCAAACTGTTTCTCACTTTCGTACTTTGGTGTCATGCGCGCACGCCTGGGGTTGTGTTCTGGTGACATCCTGTCGAGAAACGGTTCTGCTTCGCCGATATTTTCAAAGGACTCCACGCTTTTTGGAGGTTCAAAAGCCTGTCAGAACAATGGACGACAACTCGGCTACCCTATGTAGGGGATAGATCACTGACATGTATGTCTAATACCGACAGAAATATCATGACAAGAACACTAAAAACGCAACGAAGCTTAGCGGAGGTAGTAAGTTCTTACCCTATCCCTAATGCCTTCGAGCTTATCACAGACAATAACGACCTTTTGGGGAGATAGTGTGCTGCTTTGTGTAACTTGAATTGCCATGCAAATGTTCAACAAGCTTGAAAGCAACGCCACACTGCTGCCTGGAACTAGCTCGGGAATTCCCGCAACACACCGTCCAGGAGCGACACTGACTCACGCTGCTATCTGGTGTTCACGAGGTGTTTGTCGCGCTTGAAACGGAGCGTCTCTGTAAGTTTGTATCCCTGGTGATGTTTGTGCCTGGAGAGCACTATATAAGTGGTGCTCTTCAGGCACAATCTTCCTCAGCCTACTCAAGCTCAACTGATGAGGGGTGAATTCCCCGAAACACTGTGTATTGAGCAGGGAGTGGTGCTTTCTTGCAGGTTTGCCGAGTCGAAGGTTCGATGGACTTCTCGTGTGCTCTGAATGGCAGTCGTGAGTCAGTCAAGTGTGAAGTAAAGTCGGCGGAATAGCGCGAGCTCCGGTGTGGGGAGCAAACTATTTCTTACAAATCATCGCCGAAGTCGCAACCACTACTTCACACTTACAATAGTTGTGAAGTGAAATACCAAGCAATGGACAGCAGCTGGCTTATGAGGAGCCATAGCTGACTTGTAATGAGCGGGAACAAGTGAAGCCAATGCCGTTTAGAAAGAGCAGAGCTAAACTTCCCAATCTACCGTATGGAAGACGATTTTATTAGAGAAATGGAGTGTAAAACCTAGCATTTATTTATTTTATTTATTTATTTATTCAACATCTCCTGGCCCGTCCGAAGACTGCCAATAAACATGAGAGGTCAGGTGATAGCCAACCACGGCAAGCTAAAAGGGAAAAAAAAAAAAAAAGATGCTGTCAGAGAGGGAATGGAGATAGGGAGAGAAAAAGGAAGGGAGGCACATTAATAATACATGGGATCACTTCGGATGAGACAGTGTGGAAAGCTGGACTGTGAATTTCCTGATATCCTGGCATGTCTTAATGCTAGTAGGCAGGTTAGACCAAAGGGAGTATGCTGAGAAGAAAGGGGATTTCAAAAACAGAGAGGAACTAGCTCGGGGCAGTGATAAGGCATTGCGTGTTGGTCTAGTGGTAACAAACCAGTTGTACTTGGCAATATGTTTCGGGACTTGGGCTAGGAAGATTTTTTGCACAAGGATACAAAGATGCTGCTGATGTCGGGCAAGAAGAGGGTGTGTGGAAGCAAGTTTATAAAGACAAAGGGAGGCAAATGTTTGGTCTTTTCGAAACAGAATTTTCAGAAGCAAGCGTTGATGTACCTCCAGTCTGTGGAGTAAAGTCTGAGACAACCCGCACCAAGCTATATCGCAATAGTCAAATATAGGCAACATGTACGACTTAAAGAACAATTTTCTGCAGTTATCATTCAAGGGTTGGCAGTGGGGTTGTAGCATACCTAAGGACGCACTCGCACGCTTGCACACAGACTGGACTTGTGGAGACCAGGAGAGTTGGCGGTCGAGAATAACGCCCAGGTGCTTGTGCTCGTTAACAACTTTAATAGGTGTACTATTTAGACCAGGAAAATACAGAAGTTGAGTGGGGGGCGAGGGGGAGAAGAACATGGCCTCGGTTTTGGCGAGGTTAGGCTTCAGTTTCCAGGTTTCCATCCATGTTACTGTAGCGTTGACCCCGGACTGCATGGAGGCCGTGAGGTTGTCTGCCGAGCTGTCGGAGCACATCAGAGCAGTGTCGTCAGCAAAAAGACTTACATTTGGTACAAGGGCTGGCAAGTCATTAACGTACAGTAGAAATAGGAGCGGCCCAAGTATGGACCCCTGGGGTACCCCAGACACGACTAGTAATGGGTCTGATAGGGAGGTAGATACTCTGACAGTCTGGTGGCGGCAGGAAAGATAGGATGAGAGCCATTGCAGGGCTGGACTGTGTACCAAGAAGACGGACTCTAGCTTTGCAAGCAGACCACGATGCCAGACGGTGTCGAAAGCTTTCGCTAGGTCAAAGAACACGATGCCAACATGCCGCCTGAGGTTCCGCTGGGTGTAGATGTCTTGTACTAGACGTGTTAGTTGGAAAGTTGTGGAGTCTCCACGGCAGAAACCGGATTGAGATGGTGAAAGCGCTGGGGTGACGTGGCAGTACAGAGACTCAAAGAAAATACGTTCACAGACCTTGGACACAGCGGGAAGGAGAGAGATTGGTCTGTAGTTGCCAGCCTGAGAGCGTTGGCCTTTCTTATAGATCGGGACGATAACAGCAGATTTCCAGACGGACGGAAATACTCCTGTACGATATGACATGTTAAAGAGCAGGCACAAGGGATAGGACAGAGATGGCGCAAGCCATTTGAGAACCTCATTGGGTATGCCATCTTCGCCAGGGGACTTACAATTCTTCAGGAGTTTGAGGTGCTTACAGACGGTAGCAGTCGTGGTAACGACGCGTGTGAGTGGTGCGCTAAGTTCAGGGGCTGGGGACAGCGATGGAATGACCCAATTCGGATCTTCCGGAATGCCGGATGAAACAAACTGCTTGTTCAGTGTGTCTGCAATCGCCTTCACATCGTGCTGGCGGTTGCCATGGGAGTCCGTCAGGTACTGGATTGGCGCGCGGGAGGTCCCGCGGCACTGGTTGCGAATGAATTGGTGGAGTGATGGGCGATCGGGGGAGGAGAGTGTTGCAGAAAGAGAGTTTAGAAAGGAGCGGTGTGAGGTACGAGAAAGGTGCTTGACGAAGTTGCGTTGAACTCGGTAAGCCTCCCGGTTAACCGGCGTTGGGAATTTCTTGTAGATGCTGAAAAGATCACGCTTGCGCTTCACTTCAGATACGAGGGACCGTGTCACCCATGGGGGACTAGATGTCGAGGATGTTGGGTTGGAATGTTTCCGGTTGTTGTAGCCGATAGCAAAGTTAGAGAGGTGCTGTTGGAACCCTCGTTCAAGGACGGCTGCAAAGTGATCTACCGCGGCGTCAACAGTTGGAGAGCCTTCTGGTTGCAGAAACGACCAGTCGTGGCAGGAGAAATCAGCGTTCATAGAGTCCCAGCACTGAGAGGGAACTCGACGGAAGCGATATGGGAACGGTTTGCGAGAAGGAAGTGGCAGGTCTGGATCCGAGGGCAATGAGACGGCGAACTGGCATGAAACCATGAGATGGTCCGAGGAGCCAAGAGCGCAAGCTGTGTGAACGTCCGTCGCCAGCAGGGGTTGGTTCGTGAAGACAAGGTCTAGACATGACTGTGTTCCGGAAGATGTTGTGTGCGTTGGACTCTGCACGAGCTGATCCAAACCGAAGCAGGTAAGGGTGCGAAAAAGTGCCGCCCCAGCAGGACACGTTAAATCCGATGGGCACCACCGTTTGTGCTTACTGTT